ACAAAGGTCTCCCCGATGTTTCACTTTCATCACTTTTCACCGAGGTGGATCAGCATATGCCACCTGTAATCGGCTTTACGCTTATAGCATTTCCCGCACTCAGGGCAGGAATATTTCTGGCGCTCCTTGGCGGCATGGACCTTCATATGTTGCTTCAGGTTGTACTTTTGGCCGAAGCCTTTGCCACATTCCAGGCAGGTGAATGGTTTCTCATTGCTGTGAGTGTGAAGATGGTTCTTCAAGTGACTTTTCTGGACGAACCCTTTTCCGCACTCGGGGCACCAGTATGCAAAGTCTCCTCTGTGAATCCTCATGTGTAGGACAAGTCCGGGTTTTGTCCGATAACATTTCCCGCACTCGTGGCATGAATATCGCTCCCCGGTGTGGAGCATTTGGTGACTTCTCAGCTGGGCCTTCAATAAAAACTTCTTGCCACAGTCAGAACATGGGAAGGGCTTGTCGCCGGTGTGCCGCCTCAGGTGGATCTCTCGCCCTTTGTCGCTGGAAAAGTTCTTGTCGCAGAAAGAACAAGGAAATGGTTTATCATTGGCGTGCACCACCTGATGACGCAGGACACTCGCTTTACATGCAAAGAGTCTCCCGCAGTCTGGGCACGCCACTTTGTACTTGTTGTGAGCCAGGTGGTGCCTCCGGAGACGCGGCCTGCTGGTGAAATAGCGCGCACACTTGGAGCACTTGTACATTGTTACCGGCGTGCAGGTTAGAGTCCTGTGTGCGTTGTCATTGGACGCAGTGTCAAGTTCCAGCAGTTTCTCTAGTAAGCCTGTCTTGTTTTTCTTGGGCGGAGCCATCTTTCTTTCTGTTATGTGTGGAGTAGGGATCACCAAGGGCGGGGTGCGGTGCAGGATTCGGGCTTTCTGTGGAGCCGAGGGCCGAGGCTTGTGCGTTTCTTTGCTGCTGGTTGATGGGCCTCCAGATTCTTCTCGGATGTGAGTCATGTGACCTTCTTCTCCTTCATCACCGGACTCCTCCTCCGGGCTGGAGGGGGGCTCCTCCTTAATATAGAAAGGTTCTGTCGTAATATGAGGAG